CTTCTTTTCTTTTCTCTCTCTTCTCTCTTTTTTCTTTTCTCTCTCTTCTCTCTTTTTTCTTTTCTCTCTCTTCTCTCTTTTTTCTTTTCTCTCTCTTTTTTTCTTTCTTTTTTTTCTCTTTTTTTTCACTTTCTTCCCCCACCCCTATCCCTCTCCCCTTTTTCCTTTCCCTCCTTATCTCCCTCCTTCTCCCCTCCCCCACCATTCCTATTCCTCCTCCCTCACTTAGCACTTTCTTCCCTCCGCCGTCTGGAAGGCAGGAATTCGGCCAAGAAGTCACCGGCGATGACAGATACAGTTGCCAACGAGCGATTTTACGAGCCGATTACACATCTATTGACAGGTGTTATTCCTTTCACTGATCTGTTATATTTTATGGTCTCTTAGACAACCGGCGATCCTTTTTATTATGTGTGCAGCTTCTTACGTCACGGCAATGGATGCAATTTACATAATACTGGTTGTAAGGTAATATGCAAGGGGGGGGGGGAGAACTCAATTATGCGCATGGTTAACGTATAAAATGCGTTGCCCTTTTGTTTTCGTTCTTTCGATGAATCGCAAACTCATCTACTGCTGTTTAAAAAACATCTATAAAATGACAAATGCTCCATAGGCTCAGAAACAGTACGCGCCCTTCGTTCCACCTGACAAGCCACGATAATTTGATAAATGGCAACTGTACATCAGTATGTCGACCATTCATGAGCAGGTGAGTGAGTGTCCCACAATACCTTGCGCCTGGGGAATCGACACGGGAGAGTAGTCTTTATCATCGTCGGCAATAAAGCCCGTGTTACCTTCCGCCCCATCGGTTAAGCAGATAAACCGTGACAATTGTGAATTAGCCCATATTTGCCTTCCATCTAGGTTAATGCCGTACCGGCCTGCTATTATTTTCTTGGAAACGAGGTGGATTGTGAAGCAAAGCAAACCCGTTGGAAAACAACGACTAATTTACGACAAAAACAAAAACAAAAAAAAACGATTCCAAGACTTGTCACGTAACAGTAGATCAGAAGAAAATTTATATATCAAGGGCAGCCATTGTTGTAGAGACATAATAATCGCGTAATACAGATTTACACCCTAATTTTGCTTTTCCTAGATTGTTGCTCGTGAGGGTGATGCATGGCACCAGCGATACAAAAGGTGCTATTGTTTCTGCAGCAATGCGCAAAGAAAGGGGTGAAGCAAGGGAGCAAAGGAAAATAGTGATAATGGGAAATAGTAAGATGGGCATGGACAGGGGGATGGAGAGGAAAGAAAAGAGAGAGAGAAAAGGGGAGAGGTGAAGAGAGAGAGAGAGAGAGGTGGAGAAAGAGAGAGGTGGAGAGAGAGAGAGAAAGGGAGATGGAGAGAGAGAGAGAGAGAGAGAGAGAGAGAGAGAGAGAGAGAGAGAGAGAGAGAGAGAGAGAGAGAGAGAGAGAGAGAGAGAGAGAGAGAGAGACATAATGACAGACAGAGAGAGAGAGAGACATAATGACAGACAGAGAGAGAGAGACATAATGACAGACACTGAGAGAGAAAGGGAACAGAGACAGAGACGGAGGTTACTCAAAGCAAAAGACTTTCCCAGACGATTCATTCAAGACCAAGCCATCTCCATCCCTCTCCCCTCCCCCCCACCCCCGACTTTCCCTCCCTCCCTGCAATAATGGACGAAAAAGGAGATATCTCCTCCCTCCACCTTCCCCACTCGGCTTCCACCACCGCCACCACCCCCTCCCCACTACAGGTTCTAAGGGAAATTAAAGTTTTGTTTCCTTCGTGTCAGGGAAATATATACAGGATGCACCCAAATACCTTTCTTTTTGCCCTGTTCCCTCCCCTCCCCCTTTACCCCTCCCCTGTGATTTCTGATATTGTTTACATGTTCGGGTTGTGTGAGTGTTTTGTGTGTGTGTGTGTGTGTGTGTGTGTGTGTGTGTGTGTGTGTGTGTGTGTGTGTGTGTGTGTGTGTGTGTGTGTGTGTAAGTGTGTGTGTAAGTGTGTGTGCGTGTGCGTGTGCGTGTGCGTGTGCGTGTGCATGAGTGTGTGACATAGGCATAAGATTCAGTTAACCCATTAATGAAGATGAGCTCTCTCTCTCTCTCTCTCTCTCTCTCTCTCTCTCTCTCTCTCTCTCTCTTTCTTTCTCTCTCTCTCTCTCTCTCTCTCTCTCTCTCTCTCTCTCTCTCTCTCTCTCTCTCTCTCTCTCTCTCTCCCTCTCTCTCTCTCTCCATCTGCTACAATTTCTTCACCCTTTAGTTCACTTCCCCCGACCTTTTTATTCAATTTCCCAAATGCACCAGAAGAGAAAATTTGGCCACAAGCAATGCACCTGACCTTGACTTCTCCCGTGACTTATTTCTTTGCTTTCTTGTTTCTCTTGTTTCTCTTCTTTCCTTCTTTCGCTATTTTGTTTCGGTATTCGGTACTATATGGTTCCCTTTTAATCCGATAATATCATTTAAATTCGACTTCCCAATCAATGACAGTAGCAGTATGTGTAACAATACTTTTTAATGTGTAGTTCAACTAAAACATTAAAATCTACAAATACTTGTGACCTAATACAACCTGGTATAGGTCAGGTCACAGGTTCATGACATGTGAGGTCATCTGCAACACGGCGAGACGCACAGAGCAAGAGGTTATTGGATGCACATCATAAAGGACTTTGTGAAAGGCTTCTGCGAAATAGAGAGAGAGAGAGAGAGAGAGAGAGAGAGAGAGAGAGAGAGAGAGAGAGAGAGAGAGAGAGAGAGAGAGAGAGAGAGAGAGAGAGACAGACAGACAGACAAACAGAGAGACAGAGAGAGGGAGGGACGGAGGGGGGAGAGAGAGAGAGAGAGAGAGAGAGAGAGAGAGAGAGAGAGAGAGAGAGAGAGAGAGAGAGAGAGAGAGAGAGAGAGAGAGAGAGAGACAGACAAACAGAGTGACAGAGAGAGAGGGAGGGAGGGAGGGAGGGAAGGAGAGAGAGAGAGAGAGAGAGAGAGAGAGAGAGAGAGAGAGAGAGAGAGAGAGAGAGAGAGAGAGAGAGAGAGAGAGAGAGAGAGAGAGAGGGAGATGGACAGAAACACAGACATGGGGAGAGAGAGAGGGGGAGAAGACATACACACCGTGAGACAGAGAAAGAGACATCTGAGAACAAAAGAAAACAAGAAAGTGCGAAATAAAGAAGGAAGAGGGAGATTGAGAAAAGGTTACAAAAAACGGACAGGTCAAGATCCATTGAGAGTCTCAGGAAAATCAGCCACCATGACCTGAGAGCTAAAGTTAAATTAAAGGCAGGATACAGCACACATGCAGATAAACAAAAGATAAGAAAGGTCAACCTAACGAAATCGTGATAAGGGAGACACGACACGGGAAGCGTTTAATGATAATATCAATTTAAATGAAACAGAAAATACATATAAATTAGATTTAAAGGAAACGCGTACTCTCTCTCTCTCTCTCTCTCTCTCTCTCTCTCTCTCTCTCTATATATATATATATATATATATATATATATATATATATATATATATATATATCGCTATGCATACGAGATATACAATATGCACTAAAACGTATCTAGACGAAAGCAGATAAACTGTTCTGACAGTGGCCACGTGGCCTCACATCAATGTCGACTGGGTATTTGCATTGCCCAAGGTGTTAAGATATGCGTGCTGCTTTTCTTCTGAGTGTGAGTGTGAGTGTGAGTGTGAGTGTGAGTGTGAGTGTGTGTGTGTGTGTGTGTGTGTGTGTGTGTGTGTGTGTGTGTGTGTGTGTGTGTGTGTGTGTGCGCGCGCGCATGTGCGTGTCCGCGTGTGCGCATTCGGACAAGCCTCAACTAAATGTTATTTATCAAAATTCCCTAAAGCCAGAGAAACTATCCTAACAAGCATTCCGATAAAACGAACACGAAACATTCCTTCAAGTAAAACGAGCATTTTCCCTTCGTTCACAAACCCACCTGAAATATCTACCTTGCGAATGTCAACTTATCCCACCAACCAACCTCAGATGCCTTAAGGTCGTTCTCCACACGGGACGACTACCATGAGCTCGCCCTTATCTCCCCGGCTCGGTTGCCCCCTACAGAAGCGCCGGCCAAAATCCGGTTGGAAAATGACGACGAGTTAAACATGTCTGAATAAATTATGTCTGGATATTTATTTCTCATACTGATATCAAAGTTCCCTGATTTAGATAACCGCTACATAACATTAAAAAAACATCATGAAATGGCCATTAGTGCGATAACATCCACATATAAATATCAACATTCATCATAAATCAACCATGATTTTACATAATATCATATATTAGAATTAAAATAATTTTGTTATTTTCATCATACGTACACTTGACATTGAAATCTTGTCGTAATAATTTCTTGCTCTATAATCGCAAATGTGACATGACTAGCAAGGAAGTAAATTGCGATTTTATTAAGATTACCGTTATCATTATCGATTGATAACGGTGGTGGTACCGATAATCACTTGATAACGCCACTCCCCCCCAGATAATCAGTAATTTTTATCATCATTTTACCATTAAGAGTATTGCCATTAACATGGCAGGTAATATTATTATCATTATCAGATCTTGGTTTTCTATATGATTATCATTATTGTCCTTATCATTATTATTACCATCATCCTGCTATCAGCAGTAGGCTTATATCCTTGATTACCTGTATTATAGTTAGCAATAGTGTTTATATAGTGATAATTATCATCTCTTCTGCTTTCTTCGCATTATCTGTTCATTCTGACCACAGAAAAACTTTTATTACATCATATAATCGAACCAAGATCAACTACTTTTAAACAAAACAATGATTAGAGAGTAATTAGAAAATAAATATATCGACGACTTCAAATCTCAAAAAAAACGAAGCCAGAAACACAGAACTACAGGCGTGGCCGAGAGAAACGCAAATGGCCGAGGGAGCTAATCATAATGATAGGCTGAGCCGGCCGCGCGAATCCGCACACAAGCAGGTCTCGGAGGCAACTCACCTGAGCTCCCGAGGTGGTCTTCACCCGCGTCTCTCGGCGGCCTGGTGCACCATCATTTCCCGGTTTTCTTGCCTGTTTGCGGGTTTCCTTCTGTCTTCGGTGGCCGGTTCTTTCTTTTTCTGGAATCCTTTTCGGTCGCCAACGCGACGGCAAGGAAAATGGAATGTTTGTTTCACGAGACAGAAAAATCCACACCTTCTGCTGATACACTACCTCACACGGAATCTTTGAGTGCACTGACTTCACTCTCTCAATCTTGACATGGATTGCTCTCGTCGGGCTCGAGCCCAAACTGTCGTACCGCAGTAAATTTCCTGGCGGAAAAGGATTTCTTATCATCAAAATGATCACTTTAATCATTTGCTTTTAGATATTTATGTGTATGGATCTTGAAAAAATAACCAGATATTTATGTACAGATACGAAAGATTTCCAAAGACTAAATCACATGTTTATCATTGAAATCCCCCAGGAATGCTGTACAGGTGACCCCCCCTCACCTCTTCTCCACCCCTGACACTGGAAAAAAAATGAAATCAAAATAAACTGCGCCTCATATTTTTTCAGAAAAAAAACGAAGAATCGCCATTGCAGACAGTAACATATATACCAACATAATGCGTAAGATGATATAAGTTCCAACGACTAACATAAACAAGACATGACATTGGAAAACAAATATCCGCCTGGCAGCGGTACACCCAGGCTAGCCACTGGAGACTTCAACAGGACAGGTGGACGGGATCCTACGCGTCCTCACCGCTAAGGCTATTACGACCCCTCCCCTATCCCTCACTCATTACCTCCCCCTCATTCTCTCCTTCCTGTCTCCTACATGGCTCTCTCTCTCTTGTCCTCTATGTCTCTCTCTCTCTCTCTCTCTCTCTCTCTCTCTCTCTCTCTCTCTCTCTCTCTCTCTCTCTCTCTCTCTCTCTCTCTCTCTCTCTCTGTGGTCTTTTCTAACCTTCAGTCTGAAAAGATGATAGACAGCGAGGGATACAAGCTTCTGACAGATATTTTCATACTATCGAGCTTTCTATTTAGTCTCAGTGAATGTGATTATAATATAAACTCATTTAATAATCCAGCATTAATGGCAAATTGCTGACGCTGACTCTACAAAGATATTGGACAAATTAAAAGTGTCATACATGCTGTATGAGTCACCGTGACGATTGACATAATTGTGTCCACTATTCATGATTTTTGCTTTTGTAAATCTTGAGGAAAAAAAAATCAGTTCTCTATTTATTTATCTCTATATTTATCTATTGGAATAACGATACTCAGTTTTTATTACTTGGTCATAAGTATTATAATAACTGTTGCAACATCGTCATACTGTCACGCTGCCTTTTGCTCCATTCAGTATTTTATCAAGTATCAAGACTTTTCGTGTTTAAACTGATGAATTTATTAATAACATTCATATAGCTTTATTATTGTTGATATCACTATTAATAACAATAACAGTGGTGTCCATTCTCATAACTACTGTTCTCATTATCATTATCATTATTACTGAAATCACTTTTGTCATTTAGTTGTTACTATGACAGTCACCATCATCATCATCAGTTATATCAAGATCATTTCCAAAATATGATTATTGTTGAAATTGTTATTGTTATTCTACCCCTGCCTCACTATCATCATTAACACCATATCATCCCCGTGTTCATTACTATTACTATCAGTTATCATATGATATCAAATTGGTATTTTCGACTCAATTCCTTTTAATGAGAGTCATTATCATTGTTTGTAATAACCATAAATCGACATTCTTATCCGGATAACGAATACTAAATGTAATAGCATCATCCTTATTTAGATGACTAAAATATTGTTTATATTCTTTGAGCTCCCCAGCTAGGGCCTACGAGTCGGTGGGTGGAGGGAGGTAAAGCGATTCAAAGGGACACAATCATTTCCTCGGATCTCGGTTGAATATGTCAAAGCTTAACATTCAGCAGTTGTAACTTACAAGGTACTTTTCAGTGTCTGACGTCATATTCGTCATGGCCCTAAAGAAACTTTGTACCCCGGGTGATGAATTCCCTGTGTAAGACCATCAACTCAAGTCATCTTATCTAACATAATTTCAAATGGCCCATTAACTTCATATGTCGTTGTGTGATATATATAGTTTTATGATAGATACAATTTACCACGGTTGTCAAATCCAGAGATTCGTTTATTACAAACAACCTGATAAACTTCTTATCGGTACTGTAAATGTTGCCAAAATCACTCATTTTTTTTATCTGTGAGGTAATGGTTATGCAGTTTCCCAGGACTCTAGAAATATTTTTTCCCGGTTTAGTGAATTATTACCATAGTGAAAAAATAGCATTCATATAGTTTTAGGATTGTTACGCTCAAGTTTTCTAAAATATTTCTAAACGCTGGCAAGTTCTTAGTAAGCAATGTGTGGTAATATTACCATTTTAATCCGTTTACGAAGGGTTCGTATTTCTCATCATATTTCTCATTTCCTCTCTTTGTATCAAATATATATTCATTTCAGTTTGCTATACAATACATTGGTCTTCATCACTTTTATTACGAAAAGCTGTTCAATTTGTCGTCGGCTTCTGGGATTGTAGTAGCACGTGTGTCCCGCTTAAATGACGTCTGTGTGCCTGTTATATTTATATTGCCTCGAGTACCGGACATTGAACGAAGTTGCCCAAATAATTTGCTCAACTTGAACAGGCGCATTTTGAACGGGGTTCTATTAGTTAAATTCTGAAACGTTTGAGTTATTACAATGCTAACCGTTGATGATGCGTCACTATCTCCATTTCTATTCTTGATTAAAGCTGTAATTTTTATTGAACCAATCCTGATCGTAGCAGAAACCATTTTTTTTGATTGACTGAACTTTCGCTTTTTCTAGCTGGGAGGAACTGGTTCAATTATGTAACTCGGATTGATTTATGATTTTTACTGTCGGCTAATCTCTTAGTTAACTTTTTCATCTGAGCTCTTGATTTTTATGTGTGCATATGTTTCTGTATAATCAAGGACAAAATTCGTGCAGGAAATTCGGAACATGTTCGATACGAGATGATCAACTGAACCATTTGCTTTTCTCATTATCTCAGTATCCATTACATGGTTTCTAATGTGTCTACAAGCTCCAAGAGTTGCCATTACTTAGATATTTTGCTTGTGGATATTATAATCGTGATGGCAAGGTTAACTGAACAGATGGCAAGTAAAAGAAACCGAGTAAAGTATATTTTTTCAAGTACCATGAGGTTCAGAAACTCTCGCCAACTTGTTCTTTACCCAAGTTGGCTCCAGCGTCGAAGTCCCCAACCCGAACTTGTCTCAGAGAGGGACCTTTCTCATCATGTCCCTTGAACAACTTCTTGGATGCCCTTGGGGTTTGTCATCACCGGCGAACACATACCCATGATTACCTATCCTTAACTAATGACAGCCTCAGGGTCACGATGAAGCCAGTGATGGGTGTCAGGTTCTGTTAAAACTTCGTGACAGTGCTATTCCTTATTGCAGAGTCGACCCCTGATTGTCGATGATCACTTGCTGTCATACCACTACGTATAAGGTGTCATATTCCGACAATCAGGCCTCATTCAGAGCTACTTCATCTAGATTGTATCTACTTTCCTTTATTGCTACCAGGGCAATGTGGCACTAAGGTCTGTAGCTATCTCCTCGTTTTGCAGCCATTATATATATATATATATATATATATATATATATATATATATATATATATCCTATATATAATAAACATATATATATATACACAATGTAATATTATCTATATATATATATATGCTAGACCATCAAATAACACAACTGGTTACTAGTTTAAATGAATAAATATGCTAGACATCAAGATTATACAGCACTGTGTGTGTGTATATATACTATTATATTATATTATATATATATATATATATAATATAATGTGTGTTGTGTGTGCTAGTGGTGTGTGTGTGTGTGTGTGTACACCTTAATCATACATATATATATCATCTATATAATATCTATAATATATATATATACATACAACACACACACACCCCCCCAACACACACACACACACACACACACACAAACACACAAACACACGTGAAAAATACCATTGCAGACGTATGAATGAAGTGACGAGACACGGGAAGTTTCCACAGTGAGGAATCTGCGTGAGTGTATGACTGAGTGTCATTCGCGTGTCCAGCATGATAATGCAATACGTGAACAGCACGGGCTGACGATCATGCCAGGTCAGCAATCCCTTGGGGGCACTAGGTACAGTCGTGCCCTGGGGTCTCTCTGTCACCGGCCGCGAGTGCGAATGGTGTCTCCGCGCCATCAGTGTACAACAAAGGAACTACATATTATTCGAATACCGAAGATATTAATCCATATCGTGCATTCATTGATGTAGTCATGGTTTGCTAAGTAAATAAAAATGACAACGAGAATTTCATTGACTCCACGTATTATAAAAGAACTTGGATAACTATAACCCACTGTGCAATACAGTGATACAGAGATTCGCTGACAGTAACAGTGTATGACAGAACATATAGTGAATGTGTTTAAATCACTTATTGTGTGAGAGTGTGTGTGTGTGTGTGTGTGTGTGTGTGCGTGTGCGTGTGCGTGTGCGTGTGCGTGTGCGTGTGCGTGTGTGTGTGTGTGTGTGTGTGCGCGCGTGTGTGTATTTTCACTACACAATGTTATTAGGGAATGATCATTCAGTATTACCAGTAAATTGAGTGGTTTATCGTAGACAACTTCAACCAGTCAAAGAGGGTAGGTACAATTTCTTCAGAGAGAGAGAAAAAGGTGTAGTCTTACAGATAGAGGGATACTTTTTTTTACATGCCAGTTACCATAACAAATACATCCATATCATTTACACAGAGTTAGATTTTGGATGAAAATTACCAGTATCATCTTTCAAAAGGTCTGGAAATTGAGAGTACAAATCATAAAGATCAAAGGGTGTATATATGAACTGTATACAGAACACGAAGAGATAGATTGATATTAACTTTTCAAGACATTATATTTACATCTCATTTGATTTAGCATATTTTGATGTATCGGGAGACCATGAATCTTAAAAAAGCTCATAAAAACAAATATATATATATATATATATATATATATATATATATATATATATATATATATATATTTATATATATATATATATATATATATATATATATATATATATAT